GTCTTTAGGAAGGCGGTTAATGATGATGCAAATGATAATCGGCACAAAGCTTTTGCTTCGACTATTAAAACATGAAATATCATTCGTTTCATAATGGACCATTTCGTTTATTTTATTTTTACTTGAAACGAAACCAAGTTTAAATATGTTAGTGTCTAATAAAAATAAATAAACTTTTTTGGACCACCCCAAGGTTGACTGGAAGATAACGCTGATGGCATTAAGTCCGCCTTTTCACATATATGTCTGTGCCTATAAAAGCATAGAATAAATAAATAAATATTGTATAAACATAACATAAACTTAATATGTTATACAATATCAGTATCATTCCACCTTTTATTTATGTAATACTTAGCCGGTTTAGACAATTGTGGAATACACATTATTATAATAATACACCAAAATCAATCACTAAATGGTTAATTGAAAATTCTAACCAATCTGCGTGGTATGAATAAAACTGTGCAAAGCAGAAAGCAAACGTTACCACTTTAACATATTCTCAATTGAAATCGTCGAGTCCGTCCAGAGGGGGTCAAATATATCGAAGCGGAACGAATTCAATTCCGGGAGCAATTAATGTTTAATCACTTCTCGTGCGGTGCAGTAACAATTGGACGTTGCCGTCGGGTTGATTGCCTCAATCAAGCGATCTGTTCCGAGGTGCCAGGTCAGGCCGGTCGGCAGACGACGACGAACCCTCAAAAGTAAAGTAACGGCCTATACAAATCCCACTACTGGGCAAAGGCCTCCTCTGCACAGAGGGTATTAGGACATAATCCACCATGCGGCTCCACTGCGGATTGGGCGGTTTCACATAAAGTAAAGTAACAACCTATAAATGTCACACTGCTGGGCAGAAGCCTCGTCTGTACAGAGCGTATAAGGCATAGTCCAACACGCGGCCCCACTGCAGATTGGCGGATTTCACATATCTTCGAAATATTTTTTATTATTTCTTAAATATGCAGCTTTCCTCGAGGTATTTTCCTACACCACTGAGCGAGTGATAAGTCAGCGCTTAAAATTAGCAATTTCATTGGCGCCAGTACCGGGGATCGAACTCAGGTTGCTCGAGTATATTGAATTAAAAGCGAACGCGCGGGCAATGCGCTATCACGGCACGAGTCCTCGAGAGGACGGAATTCGAATAAACGCGTACACTAGGTACACCCGCGTTCCAGGGCGCCGTCTAAACGCCCCCAACCACCGACTAACCAAGCACAGTCAACGGGGTCACGGTCCACACCGAACCTCGACAGCCCGTAGGCGACACAACCTAGCTAACGCTCGCATGTGGGTTGTCAAGCCCGTGGGTTCTGGCTAGCCCACCCGTTCTGCGTTCCATGAAGCTTTAATAGTCTCGGGACTGAAAGCGTTAACATCAGTTAATAAATATTTAATAAGGAATTCGAATATATGTAAGGGTCAGAAATTGCTGCTAGGCAAAATTGAAACGACTGAGAACCACAGCGCGATTCGAATGCAATCAAACGCTGAACTATCACGGAAGACACTCAAATGGTGATATATTAGTAACATCGTGAAGACAACGAAGGAAATGGTAGGCTCTATATAATACTTAACATTATCAAATATTCGTACTATATACATAATATACTTCTTAACGATTCAATTATAAAAAAGAGTAACGATACGTAACACAAACAGATATTTATTCTGACCCTGGTTATTGGTCCATGTGTCATTTGTGTATGTAAAACAACCTTGCAATACAGCATAATCCTTACATAATATTGTAAAGGCGAAAGTTTGTTTGTATGGATGGATGTTTGTTACTCTTTCACGCAAATACTACTGAATGGATTTTAATTAAACTTATAATAATATAGTTTATATATCATAATAAGTGATATACTATAATTTATATACATATTTTTTTTATATCTGTATTCTACGCAGACGTAGTCGCGGGCAGCGGCTAGTGTTATCCTAAAATGAAGCGTTTAAAAAACCCAAACGTTATTAAAGATGCGACGAGTCATCCTCATACAATATGACGTTTGTTACATTGTTTTTTTGTTTTAAATTCAATTTCGCGGAACTCGACAGCCTTTGCAGCTTAAAAAACTATTCTCCTACTGAGCGAAAAAACATTTCAAAGAATTAACTCGTCGAATGTTGCGCGTTCGCGTCGAAACCGGTGTTGATAAGCTTGCAACTTTGGAAATATGCCTTAATACCCCATGTGTAACCTTAATTAAAACAAACAACATTCAGATGCTAATTAATATCGAAGCGGCTAACTTAAATGGATATATAAAATATCCACAACATCCAGCGAATATTTCGAGTTAATTGAGTTCATTGGTAATAAAGAGGCATGCATATTTTATTACTATTTTACCACAGCATGCGATATTTTTGTTTCAAATATATAAGCTTTAACGAAAAATGTGCATGTCAGTCGACTTTGTTATGTTGCTCACTGTAATGTACTAATGTACCTCTTTCTTGTGTAAGTTACATTGTGTGTATACATCTGCCGGTTTATTTACTGTCTACACATTTTTGTGTATACACCTGCTTGTTTGGGAGAAGGTGAGAAACAAGGAGGCGGTAAAATTGATGGTAACTTTACCAACCATATAGGCTACCCAGTTACCACATTGACGATCTAATTGGTGAACTGGATAGTGACCTTGTCTCTTGCGCAAGAGGGTGTGGGTTCGATCCCCGCTACTGGAAAATATTGTGTGATGAACATAATGCTTTTCTAGTGTCTGGGTGTTTATATATGTACTAGCTGTCCCTGCAAACGTTGTTCTGCCATATAAATTATTTCTAGGGAATTTGTAGGATAGAAAAAACTGTTTAGGGTGGACCACCCTTAATATTTAGGGGGATGAAAAATAGATGTTGTCCGATTCTCCACCCTGGTGGATACGCACACAGAATTTCACGAAAATCGGTCGAGCCGTTTCGGAGGAGTTCAACTACAAACACCGTGACACGAGAATTTTATATATTAGATAACATGTATTTATTTACAAAAGAAAAGTACGTTTAAGTATGTTTATCAGTTACCTAGTACCCATAGTACAAGTATTGCTAATGGGATTACGCTTATTAGATTGGGACTGAATACTGTTGTGTAAATATATGTGTCGAAATATTTATTTGTTTTTATTTACATACATCTGACACAAGTTCACCGATCTTTTAGCACTTCTTAATCCGCTCATTCATACAATAATCATCAATGCCGATACTACTGCATGACCATAATATAAAAAAGTATCACTTAGGCCTAAGAAAAATATTAAACGGCCCTGATTGTTTTCACATCTATAGAGAAGCTCTTCAAACTTCAGACGGAACGGTTATCATTAGTACGAGAGGGACATTAAGGACAGAAAATACATACAAACAAATAGGAAAGTCACTCTTAAAATATAATTAGACTATTTTTGGTTCACCCTCTGGTTATAGCGATAGGCTGAGAAGTGAGGAGACAAGTATCTTTTCACTTTTGAGGTCAATGTCTTACATTCCAACATGAACTATAGACCTTAATCAGGAAAGACTTCATAAATTAAAGAAAAAAAAAGTTATCTTCGATACGGGCCCAGCTATTGGACAAGAGCAATTGTCATAATGCTGCGGGCCAAGTACTAAAGTAATAGTGTATACGTTCACTTACAAGTTCAAATACGTATGTATAAAGTAAGTTAAATTCGGGTAGTGTATACTACACTAATATTTCAAAAACTATGTTTTATACAAATTTTAGCAATTAAAAGTAAAATAGATATCAGAAAGTAGCCTGGATATCAGAAATCGTATATATCTAGCGCTGTATATCTAGATATCAGAAATCGTAATACGAACTTTCTTGACAGTTTACCAGTGGAAAGCCGGAGTTTGCAAGCTACCTCGAAATGAGACAAAGACATCGTTCGAAATCAATCGGATCGGGAGTAATAATTCCGTGCGCACTGCAAATGCGACGAGTCTTCGTCGCCCACTTGTTCAATAAACACAACATAACGAGCCCGAACCGAGCCCCGATAAGATAATGGCGGGAGATAAAGCAGTCCTTTAGAGCGGACTGTCGCCAACATTTCAAATGGCTGCCGACATGATTGAGTCAAAAGTGAGACAAGCCAAAAAGATTCTCCTACACTGGCTTCTTACCCTCTTGTATGGTGACACAGAAGACGTCTTTTTTCGACAAAGTGGCAAACGTGTCGGCGGGTCACCTGTTAAGTGATAACCGCCGCCCATGGATATTTGCATCACCCGTAGGGTTGCAGAGAGGTACAGACGTTGTCTTGCGTCGCCTTGATTATTCTTCCAACTGAGTGGCTATATCTTCTCTCATTGTAATAAAAAATTGACAAATATAACAATATTATATAAAAAATGTGTCCTAAAATATTTATTTATTTATTTATTTATTTATCATAAAACATGAAGGGCTGTGGCTGTTGAATAAGTAATTTTATTACTATAAAATGATATTATGATTAGAAATATGGGGAAACTGATTACTTTTTGTTTCGTCGCAAAAACACGCACACACGCACACACGCACACTTGCAGGCACGCTTGCAGGCACACATTTAGCTTTATATACAAGCGTTAAATAGCTCAAGCTCGTCAACAGCCATGTATCAGAGGCCTGTTATTAGATAAAAAAATCAAAAAGTTTCCTTACAAGGTTAAGTTGATGGGTCAAATAATTTACATCGGAAATATAAGTACAAATAAAAACAAACGAACATATAGAAGTCGAACTGTTAATTAATCTCAATTCAAATGTTTCTAGTTCCATTACCATTTCATTGAAAATGGAACGCGTGCAGGTTTTTGTCAAACAGAACGTTTATGCAATTCACGCTCAGAATGCAGTTAAGGGGAGCCAACGCTGGTGTTAAACAGAAAGGGCCAAACGCCACCAGGCGCACGCGCATTCTCAATATCCCGCCACCACGAACCTGACTGCTGTATAAAGAACTCCCAACATGTTGTACCTTTGAACTTGGTCAGGTTCTCCTCGTAGACCTGGTCGTGCTTCTCGGGCTGGTGCTCGCCGCGGTGCCGCTTAGGCTGGTGGCCGTCGTAGTGAGCGCCGCCGTTGAGGCTCTCCTGCATCGCCTCTTGGGGGTCGAACCCGAGGCGCTCCTTGTAGTAGGCTTGAGTCGACATTCTGCCTCAGCGTCCGTATAGCATAGTTTGCTCGCCCGACTGTGTGCGGATCCGCCAAAATCCCCGCACAATCGGCCGATTGAGGGAGCTAGCGAGTCGCTCTATAAAAACCGATGTCACCCGGTGGCTCCGCAAAAGGAGAGCTGAAGCCCCTTGACACTCACTCCTTGATCTTGACACGATTTTTTTCGCACTTTTAAATCACTCGCACAACGTTCGCTCACTGTTAACTCGATCTCAACTTATAATTACGAAAGCTCGTTATGTTAATATGGCAACTTTAATGGTTAAGCGTTAGTTGATTAATTATATGTTTTTTTTCTTTAATTTTAAATTTGGAATGGTCGGTTACTTTCTTTTTTAAAATTCGAACTTGTTTAAAAGTCGTTTCGTATTGTTCGCGTTCGAGATGATTCATTTGTTTAGTGTCTGGGTTTTCACATGGGGCCTGGTGGGCACTTGTGCAAATAACTTTACAGAAACAGCCTGTACGGACAAAAAGACAATGTAATCGACGTGTTATTTGGAGGTCTGGTGTGTATTGCCTTAATGATTCATTAGCGGACTTTGGAGGTAATTAAAAACATATTATTATACGTGGGAATGAGGATTACCGGTAATTGCAACGATACTGAATAACCAAATTTATTCCGAATTGACGAGCATTAATGAGATAATTACGTATTTCGTTCAAGACAAGAATTTTTAATTATAGAAAGTGTCTATTTTGTGTTTTCGACTGCGATAAGCCGAAAGGTGTTTTGAAGTGAGGAACAGGACATATCTAAGCTTTGATTAAATAAAAAATTACACATACCGCTCACATTCTTACTGTATCATATATTATAAAACCAATGATAGTTAAAACTTAAGAAAGAGGCGTTTAATAAAATTATACGTAATAGCAACATATTCCATTATGTCTGTTTAAATGTCATACCAAGAATAAAATCTCGCTTGTGATGCTTTAAATATCCCGAATTATAACTTATCGTGTGTCTTTTATAAAAAAAAATCTCGACATGCCTATTAGCGCCCGAAATTTAATTTAGTACGCTCTTGTGTCACAAAAGCAGCGAAACCAGTTCAGCAAGGACATAAATTTATCTGACGAAAATCAACTATTTTTTTTAAATCTTAAAATCAGGTAACTTAACCAAATCTTTTAGCTGAGTATGACACGAAAAAAAGGATTGTAGGTGTCACGATATTTTCTATATTTTCAATGCCTGTATTCAACACGTGTATTAGCCATAACAATATTTTTAAGGACGATCGCGAGCGCACGGTTTGGAATTTTTATAGCTGTATTACAACTACAAGAGGTCATATCGTCTGTACAAAAATATTCCCGAGTTACACTTCGCCGTGTTACACAAGAGTGAACTGGCATCACATATCTTGGAGTTTTTAAGCGTTTTCGATAGAGAAGATAGAGGTTTCCTAGCGAAGTTGTTCTTCACCGACGAGTGGCAAACAAACTTAAGTGTTATTACCGGCACCGGAATTTGAACCGATGTTTCTCTCAACATATCTAATTAAAAACGAAAGTCCACATACTAAGCTACAACAAAACTCTGACATAAGTATTTTTTTCCCTTCTAGTAAATAATAATATTAGAAGTATTTTCGTCCATGAAGTCAACTTTAGGCTCCATTTGAATTTGCTGAAATGGAGTTCCAATTTGACGTCACAATAGTTCTTTTTCTATACCTTTTGTTTTATATATTATTTAAGTGATGGCAAATAAAGAGATTTTCTTTCTTTCTTTTTACTTTCTGACACTTTTATTTTGAACGATCGAAATCATTTTATTAAAAATGTCGTCGCTGTAAAAATATTTCCATATCGAGTTTTATCATGAGTCCAGATTCACGTGTATGGAATAAGATAAAGGGATCGTACAGCTTAAGTCAACGGAAGCGATAGGCTTAGCGGCTTTGTGATGTCGGGTTAGAGCAGCTGTGTTTAGGATAAGCAACTTTAAATGACTGTAGTACCATCGGAGACGGTTGATTTAATGAAGGTGGAACGAGTACGCGATATACATGATATTAAGTGATCACTCCTCTCCTCGCAATAGCTATGGACGATAATCTATCGTTTTCTATTGGTTTTTTTGTAATCCAAAGCCAGCATTTTATTCATATTATAAAGAATAAATTACTTAAAGCTATCTAATAGATTACATTGCGGATTACTAGAGTAATGCTGATTCAATAACATCAGTTTCGTCTCATCGTAGAATAATCGACCAAAAGACATTCGATAGCTACCTAATTTTCGAAAAGGACGATTTAATTCAAGGTCTAGAACCTTCTGTCTCATGCTTTCTTTAAACTACTATTTTAGTTAGCCTACTATATCTGCATTTTGTTGCGCTCAAACGATATACAGGTATTCTTAATTCAAGCACAAAAGCAAACAATTCTTATAGCACGAGATAGGTCTTTTTTATGGAAAAAAGGGGCAGGAGGCTCACCTGATGGTAAGTGATTACCGTCTGAAAACCAGTTCTTGAACTTGGAAACGTCTAAGTCATTGGGCTCTAATTAATATATGTGTCTAACCGACCGTTAACATTTAGGTATAATTCCTAATGCATTAGCGAGCGAAATTGTTTTGAAGGTCGTATATTAAACAGTTCTTGGAAGTCCCTTGCTCAGGTAGTCCTTACATATTCGCATACCTGTGATTCCTTGCAATTTTGGCAATATAAAAAATAATCAATGTGTGGAGTTCATACTGTTGATACTCACGTAGGCCTAAAATAAGAATATTAAGCCAATGTTATATAGCAATCTGATCTTTAAAAAAAAAGAGCAACTGTTGACTTTTTTGCCAGTCTCTTCTTAACAGAAAGTGCCTTTTGAACCGGTGGTAACTTACGAACTTAATATATCAATTAATATGTAAAATTCGACGTTTCATAAGAACGCGCAAGCGTCTATTTGAATAAATATATTTTGAATTTTGACGTATAGTCTACTAAAAACTTTATCACATAACAGTTAGCGAAATAAATACACACTAAGCGAATGCTTGAATATTGGCAATATGTTATGAATATAATTTTAAATTAAAGTGAGTATTTTACAGATGTTCGAAGTCAACCTGGTACGCGGATGTGTTATGAGTGAAACGGGAATTCGAAAAGTAATTTAACGCGATAAAATAAGTAAAATAGTTTTATTTACAATACATCAACTCATCATAATATCCTCCTTAGAACGATAACAATCTTAGCAGACCTAACAGAAGTACTGCATTATCGTTGCGTCTTCGATCCTATCTTTGCTATCGATTAATTTAACGACCCATACATATATTAACAATGAAAACTACGAAGATATCAAAAATTCGCAAAACAAGTTTAAACAGAACTCGATTACGGAAAAGAATGAAGCCGTCGCGGCTTAAAAACATAAACGAACGAAGGCTGATGTTATTATATATCTTCGATAACTAATGAAAGTTGTGATTTGATTTAATGTTTCGATGAATTAGTAATACGTCCGGTTTCAAAATGTTTCGAAATGTTTTTTGTAATTTAAGATGCCTACTAAAGATATAATATCATCCAAAATGTATCTTCGTTGTTTTATTTCAATAGATTTTTCTCACAATTGTCCATGGTTCTAAGTTATTAACTTAAGATTCTAACTCGAAGATTATATATTCTTGCTAGCTTCCGTCCCCTACTTTGCCTTCTTAATGATAAAACTTAAAAAAAAAAAAACATTAGTAGCTAAGACGCCGGACGGAATAAAGAGGAAAAAAAATAAGAAAGCTGAATCCGGAATATACAAAGCCACCTCCTGCCACTTACAACTTGCTAAGTCCGATTGCAATAAGTACCTTAACAGAATTTGGACTAGACGATGTAGTTTTAGTGGTTTTGCTGAGTACAACTATACAGGAGGCTTGTGTGACGTCACCGGAGCCACGGCCGAACCGGTTCGAAGCCACAAGGGGCGCGAAATGGAGTGCGCGGCACCCAAATTATCCGCAGACGCCCAAGGTCACACGAGCCCCGTTTCCGAAACGCCACTGCCGTGGGAATGCGCGGAACAATACGTTGGGTCGCAGCTGTCGGCGGATCGCATTCAGTTTATGCAAGCCTCTGTTGCAACCAGCTTGTATCATGCTGACGACAAAAAAAAAACTTAAGGGGAATGGTCAAAGCCGACCTCACACTTACAACTCCCGCTACATTCGTAGACATTATAAGCCAAGTCTAAAGATTCTTAAGAAAAGGCGCAATTAAAACTGTTTTATTGTTCCAATTTACGTTCATAGCGAACGCGCGGGTAAAGATAAGTCTTGATTATTTCCTATAGATTAAGCATAGATTGTAAATAGCCATAAAACCGTCAGGGCCTTTAAAGAATTAGTCTACACCGCATTAAATTTCAGGCAGGTGAACAATGAATTATAATAACTAATAATAGATTTTATAGACCATAATATAATTGACACAATATATTTCTAATCAAAAATAAAAGCCTCATGGAGATAAAGATTTCTTGTACTAGAAACAAGAATATTATATAACTCATAAGTTATATTATTTAATGTTACTCGTGATCTTGGACGCTATAAGGTATTCGAACCGACTTGATAGTATTTTTTCCAGTGTGTTCGTGTTAATATACATTTATATGTTAATATACAAGTATTTCTATAGATGTTTACATATTTCTAATACGTATTCATTTACAAAAGAAAATTATATTTAAGTGTATTTATCAGTTATCTAGTACTCATAGTACAAGCATTGCCTAGTTTGAGACTAGAGAACGTAGTAAAAAAATGTGTCCTGTTCCGAAATATTTAATTAGCCGGTTACCATGGCAACCCCGCTCAAACTACGGCCACGCGTTTAGGTCTCACAACACAGGCGGGTCCGGATTCCGGCGCATTGTTCGTTTTCGAATCTCGTTCACGTATTCGTGTCCGCCTTCGCTTGTTACTCTTGCGACAGGGCTCGCTTATTTTG